TGTCCATATAGTGAGGTCCAGGACAAACAGGGCTACAGAGACCTGGGGGGGGGGGGCTGGTTTTCTCCATAGTCCCTATTAACAAATGTAGAGTTCCACTGTTCCTCTCAAACCTTCTTAAGGCAGCTGTTACCTCGTTTCTCCATATCCTAGATTCCTCTAGATCCTGAGGGGCCTTTATATAGTACAGTTGTGCAATACACAGCATTTTCAGTAGCAGTGTGTGAACTCCAGAGGAAGAAATGTTCTAGGAATTCCCAGCCCTGCAGTGAACAGCCCTTTGCTGAAGTGATTTCTCTGGTCCTAAAGGATGGCATGGAGTGCTCATACAGCGTGATAGGGGACAGCTGTTAGATGGTTTGCACCTTTCAGTGTATGGTTTGCTAAAAGTGCATTGTGTCAGTCCTTCAGCCAATTTCTCCGTGCTTTCTTTAAAGACATCAGAAGTTGCCTAAGGGTTTTCGGTGTGTGTGGGCGTGTTTTGTGCGCAGCTCCCTTTGTCTGTGTTCTAAACTGAAATTAACCACTGAAGTGATCCCTCTCCCAGGTTAGGCCTTTGGCAGTCCCAGTGTATTCAAAACCTAATTACAGATTAGTCTGTTTGGGGACTTTTAGAGCAAGTATCAGAAGACGCAAAGCTCTGAGAGGAGCAGTGCCATTTCATGTGGGGATAAAGAGACCTAAAATGTGAATGGGTGTCAGGTCATCTGAAGAGAAGAAAAAAGAGAAGGAATGTCATTCACTGAGGCTGGCGGTTTATGACTTGGGGATTATGGGAATATTCATGACTCAATCAAGATGCACAATGAATTGATGTTTAAGATGGCTCATCTTTTAAGTAAACATTGGGTAAATGGGAACGAGCCTCCATATTCACTCTATGTAGAACTGTGTAACATAATAGTTTAAGTCCTTCCTGAGTCAATTTAATTTATCAAAGAGGCCACAGATTTTATAAGTATTCTTTATTCGAATATTTAATCCAAATATTTGAGAGAATCAGGATTTGTTTTACAACTAGCCATGCTGATTTGTGCTCGTTTCTGATTTTTACCAAGTGTATCCCATTTGACATGAAAGGTAATACTCCAGCACACCTAAGACAGTGGTCTTTTGCTCTTTTTGCTTCGGCATGAGGCAGCAGACCTCCTGTGTGTTTCTAAATCAGGATGGTGAGCAGGGCTCTTCCATAGAGGGCCTGCCTACAGGACTGAAAGAGACAAAGAAAATGTCACATTTGAGTTGACATTCCTAGACTGACAGTAAGAGAATAAGCAAGGAATGCTTATTGGTTTGGATTTGGGGTTTTGGGTTTTTTGAGACAGGGTTTTTCTGTGTAGCCCTGGCTGTATTAGAATTCACTTCATAAACCAAGCCGGCCTTGAACTCACAGAGATCCCCCTGCCTCTGCCTCCTCAGTGCTGGGATTAAAGACTTGGGAATGCTTCTTAAAGAAGGAATGTCTTGGGGCTGGAGGAAAACCAGCTGAGAAGGAGGACCCACAACGGCTCACACACAGCCGCACATAGACATAGCTGCACATAGACACAGCACGCACATAATTAAAGATGACCCTCTCAAACAAGGGAGGGGAAATTCCTCCATGTCCCAGAAGACTTCGTCTTTTCACATCGTTACACAGGTGGAAAGGACAGCTGAATTTCCTTAGGGTGAGAGTGATGTTCCTTGACGATGCTCCTTTTCTTTGTATCGGCCTCCCTTCCCATCCACCAACCCCATTACTTCTAGTAACTTATTTAAATGCTTTATAGCATTCTTAAGGCTTTATGGCAACACTGTACCATGTCCTGACATTATAATTGCAAAATTTTTCATTAAAGTGTAACTTTTTAAAGGAAACTTAGAATTTTCTATATTTTTGTGTTAAATAGTCCTTTTATTTAGGGGGAAAATTCGCTTACCTCTTCATTTTCTAAAACTTGGATTTCCCTGTAGACCCTCCAGAATTAGACACCTTCCTCAATGCAGCTTTGGTATCTGTTCATACAAATAGGTCTTGCTCTGACCTGTCCCCTGTGGGTGACACCACTGTACCATACACCTACGGACAGTCTGCCCCTCAGAGGATGGAGGTCAATGACTGATAGGGCAAAGGTTGGCAAACTGCCCCTGTGGCTACCCAATTGCACTCAGATCACGTGTGAAATAAACTTTATTCTTTCTGCATTATGGCATGACATTCCCAAATAGACTGCTCACCAAGGAGTGACTAGGGGCTGCTGAGGCTGGAAACACCTTTGAGGGATTTACCTCCTATTGTGCTTTTCAAACTAGTTGGGGTTTTGGTGGGATTTGCATTGTTTATTTTGGTTTTTATGAAGACCATGGTCATCTCCTCTAGAACTGCTAAAAGATAATTTGAAAAGCCCTTTCTTTTCTTCATCTCTTTTAAAGAATGATTTAAAAGAACTGCATGTATATGAAATTCTGAAAATTTCTCATTTAAAAAAAAATACCTGTTTTTAAACAACTAAATGGATAAGTTTTGGGGGGTTTTGTTTTGTTTTTAAAGCTAAGACTGGCTTCATTTGGAGAATGAATATGTGTTCTAGTTTGACTACTGATTAAGAAGTAGAAGCAAGCCTGCCAGAAAAGTATAGATTGAAGTTCTAAGGGCCTGCATGATGGCTTGGGGAGTATTGTAGTTTGCTTCTCTGTTCCTGTGCTAAAACACTGAGCCAAAGCAACATGGAGGGGAAAAGTTTGTTTTGCTTATACTTCCATGTCCCAATCCCTCACTGAGAGTCAAGCAAGAACTTAGGAAGAAACCATAGAGGAGCAGAATGTTGCTCACTGGCTTGTTGTCTGACTTACTAGTTCATGCTCAACTTGCTTTTTTTATACATACAGCTCAGGCCTACCTAACTAGGGATGGTGCCACCCACAGTAGGCTGTGCGCCTCCCCCCCACACACAAACACACACATACATCAGTCATCAATCAGGAAGTCTTCCACAAGCCAGTCTGATGAAAGCAATCCTTCAATTGATGTTACCTCTTCCCACAGGACTGTAGGTTGATAAGCCTTAACCACTTATCTCAAGTGATGTTGTATTACATGACAAGAGAGAAAGAAAGCACCTGCTTAATAGAAATACAAATATGCACAGTCACTATTTTTCTTAACAAAATAGTACAAAAACATGAATGTCAATTACCATCTTCATTTTTTATCTAGTCACATGGCTTTAGCTGTTATTTGCAACTACCTTCCTCTATTATTCTTTGTTTCCTCAACTCTCAGCAAGCACCTCAGCAGGTACAGTTCTTTCCCTGGAGAAATGACCAATACCTTTATCCCTGAGGCTCTGGGCCATTTGTCATCTGGATTGGATTGTTGTAGTTTCCCATTGTTCTTACTCAGAGAACACAGTAACACCAAGTTGTCCTAAAGGGTCTCCTGTATCCTAGACATAATCTTCCTTACCTCCATTGTGGAAAAGCAGTCCACTTTCCTAAGGGAAGTCTGGATCAATCACCCCTCCTAACACTATTATTCCTGTCTTAGCCTGTTGGCTTAGGGGCATCAGGAGCCCAAAGTGGCCCAGGGAAAGATGCTTTAGTTCAGTGAAGCGCGTGTGCACACACACACACTTGTAATTTAAAATTGTAAGCAATGGATTGGTATTGTCTTAGCATTTATGATTCACTCATCTGTAGAAGGAGAAAATGCCACCCTTGCCTTAACTTTTATCAGATTTTCTCAGTGGTTCAATCAAAACAATAGAGCTTTTTTCTCCACATACCTTCTTATTCTTAATATAATACCACGAGTTATAAGTCCTAATTTAGAGTGTCTACAAACACTGTCCTTTGTATGTGACTATAGTAACCACCACTAGAGTCCTACAATGCCGTGAAAGTTACAGAAGGACCATTCTTCCTCTGACTGGGTGCTCATCACCAAAGTACACTGCCAATAAAATGTGTATCTTCCAACACAGATTGTTTAATTGCAGAGAAATAAATGTTGACCATTAATGACACTTTATATGATCTCTCCTCTTGAGTAGAATGCTTGCCAGTCTTGTGTCTCAGTCCCCAGCCTTGAACTAGTTGGTTCCTGTCAATTAGTAATTCCCACTGATATGTTAAATTGTATTGAAGGGATGGAAGCATCTCTCACACTGCCTAGTGTAACTGATATTCTAATACAGGAGATACATGACTAAATCAGCAGCAATAGCATATAATAGGGACATTTCATAGAGAAATCACAGATTTTATGTGGAATCTAATAAAAAGGTAAAAATTGAAATAAATGTAAGTCTACTTTCAGTGGTTCTTTATATTTTTAAACTTTTCATATTCCCACCTAAAAAGGTATTTTCATATGTTAAAGATATTCCCCAGTTTCCTTTGCTTGTCTTTCCTGGCATTTGAAATATGAATGAAGTGCATATCTCATCATGGTGGTATTGTCTGACCTTCCTGGTAACTTTGCCTGTTACTTTATATTTTAGAAGGTCATTTTCCAGACAAGGGACAATTTTGTTCTTTCCCTGTCATTGTTGAGATAGCAGCTCAGTCTGGCATTCCACTCACAGTCGGCCTCCCATGTGCTGGGTTTGCAGGCATAGGTATAAGCCTGCTTATGTCTATGCTTGTTAATTCCTTAAAATAGCCTTATCTTTGTTTTGTTTTGTTTTGTTTGGTAGAGCTTCAAGGAACCTAAGAATGCAGTGAGACAATTCTATGTGTAGGTGGACAGCCAGTGTTCTGTGTAAAGGGTCCACGGCTTCATTTCATAGTTTCCCAAAGGGGGCTGTCGAGCAGTTCTCCTCCTTCGCTTCCCAAAAGTGACCACTTACTCTTCTGACGCACCTGGACATGGGCCACAGGAGGTCTAGGGAGAATGACTTTCTCCCTTTTCCTCAAATAGCTCAAGATGTAGACGATTTAATAATACAGATTCTCTCTAATAATTTTTGCTGCCTTTTAAAAGTATGTGTTTGTAATCCCTCTTTTTATCTTCATAGAGAAAGTGAGAGAAATTCAAGAGAAACTTGACGCTTTCATTGAGGCACTTCACCAAGAGAAGTAGACTGTATGAAGTGAGTAATTCTGAGGCTGGGGTGCACTGAATACAAAGCATGTATTTGAAGCCTTTCTCAGTAACTCATGGCTCTGCATGGCAGCACCCAGCTTGCTTCTCTGTGATGTGATGCTTTTGCTGGCATGACTCTTGGAACCAGCTTCCTGTGTGTTGTGCCACACCGTTAAATCATTTGATTACCACCTTCTGGCTAATCTACAACTGTACTCTAGAATGCATTTTGGACAGAACCAAGGCTAAATAAAAATATTTGACAATGATTTTCCAACATATAGGTGGCTGATTTTTCTACATTGAAAAGTTAATCTGCACTTATCTATCTTACTCTTGTGCTCACAGTAGACAATCGTGCGTGTGTTAAGTAACTTGACTTACAAAGCTCCTTTATCAGTTTCATGAAGTTCTTCAGAAGAAGTAGGCTGTATTCTCCCTTATAATTTCAACACATGTGGCATACCTCAGAGTAGCAGCTTTGTTTTTCTATGCAATAGTTGTAATGTTTTAAGAAAGAATTTTAGAATTTGAGTATGGTGGCACACTCAGGAGATAGAAACAGACACTTCTCTGTGAGTTCTAGGCCAGCCAGGGCTACATTAGAGAAACCCTGTCTCAAAAGAAGAAAAAGGAAAAAATTAATTTTGGGACTGGTAAAGGAGCTTGCCACCAAGCCTAACAACTTGAGTTCAATCCCCAGGACCCCAGATAGACGAGAACTGACTCCTGATGTCCTCTGGCTTGCACCCACACACACAAATAAATGTTAGGAAAAAGTGAAAGAAAAAAATAAATGAATTCTATTATATGTTTATTTATATGTTTGGTAAAATTGTACTACCATTTTATGGCAAAAATAGGTAATTTAATAAATCTAGCAGATTGGAACAATTAAGCTTTAAATTTTAGTCATGCCGTGATAAAGTTGCTTAAGTCTTTTCATTTTCCAAATCTAAGTTCCTCAAATGGATTTATTTTTACAGAATCCTGCTCATAATCACCTCTGCATACATTCGAAGAACGAGAACTTTGGTCTTTTGTTCTGCCTCCTTTCTCCTGTTCTACCTTTTCAGTGCAAAATAAAGTCATAGGGTAAAATTAACTTCTGTGTGTCACAGGCACTTCAGCTCCCAGCAGCCTCGTGAGCAGAAGAACAGTGAAAATGGCCCCACCGTCTGTGTTTGTACTGATGTAACATTGGGAAACATGATTGCTATGGCCCTTAGGCTTAGTCTTCAAAGATAAGAAGTTACCTCAAGTCTTGTTTGTGGTGGCACCAGTGGGATTCATTAGGGTGTCATCAGACATATAATGGTAGTTGCTTTGGAGTAAAACATACAGTAATTTTTTAAGAGACATCAATTGTATATATGGCGACAGTTGCCTGCTAAGCCATCATCTGTCTGTAGTGTTCTGTATCCAGGACTGTTGGGCTGTAATAATTCAGTTTATGTTCACATGAAAGAAAGCTGGTTTACAAAAGAATGTTCAGACAGGTTAGCTTGTGTTGAACAGTTCCATGCATATTGAGTGACAGAGCCATCAAACTTCCATTACCAGCTCAGACACTCGCCTTGGAAGCCAATAGCAGCAGCTTACGTCCATTGCTGTTTTTACACTCTCTGTATCCATTTGCAATTAACTCCTTTTGAATAATGTGTGCTTTAGGTCAGACTTTCTGGTAATACTGCATCTATCCTGTTGACAGCCATTGAATTATAACCCAAGATGGAGAAGATTAAAGGTAATCAACTGACAGTTTTCATTTAGAGTGCTGTCAAACATTTGAACTAGGACAGACTGCAGCACAGTGTTCAGACATTATTTTAAATAAAAATTACTCTAACAAGTGGGAGAACAGTGACCCACCTCTCTTAAATATGAAAATTCTGTTTAATTCATTACAGTTCAGTTATAGTAGTAATCCTTACAATATTGCCATGTGTTTTATTTAAAATTATATTGGTTAAAAGACTTTAAAACAAACAAATATGTCACATATTTTACTTAAAACATCTTGCTACCTTTTTTTATTATTATTATTAGGCTTTATTGTGCTGGTAAAAATGCTCAGTATTGTAGTTTTTTGTTCACAGTTAATTTATTATGCAATTTTTTTGGAATTATTTTTGGTAATAATTCTCTACCCACACAATACTTTAAGTGTGTGTGTGTGTGTGTGTGTGTGTGTGTGTGTGTGTGTACAGTATGGAAAGCAAAATATTTCAGAAACTATAAATTCAGTAATATTTTATTTAAATTATCAGATAAGACATTTAGGTACTATCTTCAGCAGCTAAGAGCAGCGTCTATTGTTTCCAAGGCCAGGAGTGCTCAGGTGCCTTGTCTCCCCTTTTAGGTGTGGGATCATGGTGAATATTAGCTAAGGCAAGCCCTGGCTGAGACCAGCAGGAGAAATCTGCAGGTTTCTTCTAAGCAAAAGGCTGATGTTAAGCTTCATATCTCATTGTATAACTTTTTGTTTTTATGGAAGAGAACTTTTATTTCCAGAGGGGGTCAATATCTGTAACTTCAATGTAAAAGTAAATTACCAAATATCACTGTCATTCTTCACATCCCCGTGGGTTATTTTTTAAGCTGGTTTCATGATAAGCATGTCTTTACACACACACACAGCTTTTAAAAGCTAGGTATTTATCAAATGCAAAAGCTGCGGGAATGAAATAAAGTTCAGTTCAGCAGTTGACCGCGTCTGTCTATCATGTCTGTAGTTCTGGCACTTAATATACAGAAAGAAGTTCAAGTCTAACTGCACAAGAAATCATTTGTTTCTCACGTCCACATTTGCAAAGAATGGAGTGAATGAAATTCTATGTAGAGAACTAAGAGATTTTGAAACGATGATAAGCATGTCGATTATGAACCACCAGTCTGTACAGCATAAGCCACCGGAAGCAAGCTTGCTGCTTCACCTCCACAGCAGCCAGACTGCAGTTACAGGTGGAGCGGCCAGCCTTTCCGGGTCTTACTCCTAGTCTCTCCTATGAGCTCCATTTTCCAGGCCATCCTCAGTGAACTCCCACAGGTTGCCTGGTACCCAAATGGTAATGAGTGGTGTGCAAGTGTCTAGGGACTTCCTAACTGCAGTTTTGGAATGTCACCTGTAGGATTCTGGTGGCACACTTCAGTAATCACAGCCCTCGGGTAGCAGAAGCAGGACTATCATGAGTTAAAGGCAATCCAGGGCTACGTAGGGAGGCCCTGTCTTAAAAACAAAAATAATACAATTAAGAGTGTAGGCTTAACAGGCAAATTTCTAGTTGATTTTGTATTTATTTATTTTGGATGTATTTATCTGAAAAAAAAAAAACAAAAAAACATGGTATCTTTTTCTTTCCAATAAATGAGATGATGGTACCGGCGTATCTTCACCCTCTACGCTGGTGTATGGTAGACTGTCACATGCTGTAACAAGTGGAAATATGCTTGAAAATGTGCTTACCTTTTAAATAATCATGGCTATTTGATATCTAAATATTTAAGACTTACCCATGTCTTCATGTGCACTGTGAATGGACTTTGTATTATTTTTTTAAACCTTACACTTGATGTAAATGTTACTACGACTTATATTTGCCTGTGCTTGATCTAAGGTCATTTGTGTAGATGGGTAATTAAAAGATACTGAAGTGACATAATAACTATTATGGAGAGCATCTTTTACATTGTCTTTTTTTAATGAGGAAGAGACGCCTCTGGACCTAGGGTCATGATTTGACCCCATAACATAGGCAAATCTGTGACCCAAGAAGCTTTCAGAGTGGCTTTTCTCCAAAGGCTTGCATGTCATGAACCTTTCATTTCACAGTGTAATACATGTTCAGCTGATGCTTCTTCACCTGTCTTGATTATTGGTCTTTTCTTCAGTAAAATATAAAAAGGACAGTTTTCTAGTTACACTGTGCTGCTGTACCCATCACTTCCATTAATGATGCTGCCGTGTTCAGTCCCACATTAGCTTTCAAAGGGGCGTTAAGTAACCCTGAGGCCTGGAGGGAACTGTAAAGATGACTTCTACCCATCCTGATTAAAATCTCCCACCCTCACTTTTTATTGCCACCACACTTTGCTGTGCAGAGTACGGTAGTGTTGAACCCTCCTTCAGACTCCATGTGCTCGGCTGAAGTCCACACTGAGAGAAGGTGCAGAAAGACATATTTCTGGTCAGTGAATGTAGGATGCTTTGTTGTAATTCAAGCATTGGTTCTTCCTGTGGTTCAAGTTCCAAATCCTTATCCAAAAAGTGAGAATTTAGTTACTAAAGATTCAGTAGAACAGTTTGTTTTCTTTTAGCATATCTATTCAATTAAGGAATTAATATACTTACAATGTGCTAAGGATGACACAAGTATGTTTCATTATATTAGAAAAATCATAAATAGTTGCATACCCAGCTTATAATAACTATGTTGGTCCCAGGTTCTACACTAATTAGACAAAGTAGACATTTACAGAAAACTGGAAGGCTAAGACAAGAACTACAAAATTGTTAGAGGCTAAAAGGTAACATTATAAGGACTAATTAAATCTTTGTCCTGAGGGACACAGTTCATAAAATTATGGGTAAGAAAGATTTTCCTCATAAGTCATTATATTAAATTCTTTTCCTAAAAGGGCAGAATTGTGTTACCACCTTGAAAATTGGAAATATGACCACATGTGATAGTACCTTCTGGAATCCCAGTACTACAGAGGCAGAGGCAGGCAGATCTCAAAAAAGGAGTCTGAAGCCAATCTGAACTTCATGGCAACCTGTCTCAAAACAAAGAGTGGGAACATGTACATGATTCCTCCTGAAAAGACTTCAGTGAGTGATTCATGCTCTTAAAACCAGAATCGGGCTTCTTTTGGAAGGAAGTAACTAAAGTATGTTTAAGTCAGCTCTTCCATACCTCTTTGTGGTGAAGAATTGCCACAATTTTATCAGTAGTATAAACTAATACAGATGTAAACTGAACCCTGTTCGAGTACTTGAGCTCAAAAACTTGGAAGGGGAAACCAGAGACCCCATTAAAGACCCAATCACCACACTGTATTGCTGGCAGCAGCCTCACAGGGACAGGTCCCCTGCTTCACCATCTTGCATACAGTTACAGAACAGCCTGGAAGTTGGGATTTTATCCACTGTAACTGGTACCAAATGCTCATGAGACCTTGAGGGTTTTGTGAGGGAATTTGAAAGGAATAGTTTAGTTCCATCTTCCTGCAGTACTGTCTGGACCACTCACTTTCCTCCACAATGGTA